GTACAGTCATCAGTGATTGTGCTGGTGTTTGGAGTTGCTTGCAGTTATATAAAAGCCATTCGCGGACTAGATACGACGTATGTTTTGGGTCGTTGAAAAAGAAATCGGCTGCTGTCGGAAGGCAGTTTTTGCACGCTTGGACGCAAATTTTCCTTCAGAATGTTCAGATATATATATTTGTCCAGTTTATCTGTAATAAACTTCAAATTACCCACGCCAGATGCAGCCATACACCCCCAAATCACGATGTTTCCCCCACCATGTTTGACTGTAGGAATCAATTGATTTTCTTGCATATCTGCATTGGCACGCCTCTACACTTTCATTACTCCGTCCGACCCAAAAATATTGAATTTTAATTCATCGGTGAGTACAACATTCTCCCAAAACGAATCTGGCTTATCAAGATACGCTTTAGCAAATTTTAACCGCTTTTTCTTATTTCCTTTTGATATGAATGGTTTTCGTCGCGCAGTTCGTCCGTAATAACCAGCTTTGTGCAGCACATTTCTCACAGTTTGAGGATTTACATTTTTTTTGAAATTCAACGTTTAGATTATTCGTAATCTTTACAGTTGAAATACGCGGATTTTGTTTAACTGTAACGATTTCATTGCGTTCTTCGTAGAGCGTCAAAGTTTTAGGTATGCCCGACCTGAGTTTTATATTTAGATCTCCGTTATTTGTATAAGATTTTATAATGTTATAAACACTTGAATGGCGCTTCCCTAATATGTTTTTTTATTTCAGCAACTAATTACACTAAGCTTTAACACTTTTACGCTTGATTATTTGTAGATCTCTGTCCGGCTTACTCAAAATATTAAAAGAAAACAAGTAAGGAAGGGCTAAGTTTGGATGTAACCGACCATTTTATACTCTCGCAAAGTCAAATGGTATACTCGTTTGAGATTTCTTTGTGGATTGACTGATATTTTCGGTAGAAGGTCAACTATAGGCAATGGGGTCCATATATTTAGTACTTAGGGGTTTGAACAGTTTTGGTTCGATTTAGACAATTTTTGGCCGCAAGGTGGCATACTTTAATTGCATTATTCACGCCAAGTTTTACCCCGATATAATCATTGTTACCTGATTTGCATAGTGGAAAGTGAAAGAATTAGATGGAATTGAAAATGGTGTTACATGGGAAGTAAGCGTGGTTGTAGTCCGATTTCGCCCATTTTGGCACTATGACATAGAAACATGAAAAGAACGTTATGCACCGAATTTGGTTGAAATCGGTTAAGCAGATCTCAAGATATGGGTTTCACCTAAAAGTGGGCTGTGCCACGCCCACTGTCTAATTTTGAACGCGGTTCCTATAAAGTCATCTTATACCATCTCAGAGATAAAATTTAATGTCTCTGGCGTGTTTAGTGCTTGATTTATCGCGCTTTTAGTAGTTTTTAACAGTACCGTTATATGGGGAGTAGGCGGAGTTGCCACCCGATTTCAACTATTTTCACACCGTCAATAGAAGTGCTAAAAACATTTGCTTCTAGTGAATTTTGTTATTATAGCATTAGCGGGTTAGGAGATATTAAACCTATTAGAGGCGGGACCACGTCCACTTTAAAAAAAAAGTTTTAACTGCTGATGCCCCTCCCTAATGTGATCCTATGTACCAAATAACAGTCTTGTATCTTATTGCGGAGCTTAGTTATGGCAAGTTATTTGTTTTTGATTAATGGCGTTTTGTGGGCGTGGCAGTTTTTCGATTACGCCCATCTGCAATACCAACCGTCTCACGGTACCAAGAAACATGTCTACCAAGTTTCATAAAGATATCTCAATTTTTACTCAAGTTAGAGCTTGCACGGACGGACGGACGGACAGACAGTCACCCGGATTTCAACTCGTCTCTTCATCCTGATCATTTATATATATATAACCCTATATCTAACTCGATTAGTTTTAGGTGATACAAACAACCGTTAGGTGAACAAAACTATTATACTCTGTAGCAACAGGTTGCGAGAGTATAATAATCAAACGCAACAAAATCGAAAACAGCATGACACGCTGAATGAGGTGTACCTAAACTTTTTTGAGTACTTTTTGGCTGCTTTTTTTAATTCACAGCGTCTAAGTGGCGCCACAAGATAGATAACGGCACAACAATCACTCAGTAACGATGAGCATAATGCTGTTCTAAAAATGTACATAACGGGTTTTTTTTTTTAACTTTTGTTGAAATTAGTTGTTTGTGTACGAATTGTGTTTTTAGTACGAATTGTTACTGTACCTAAGATGATGCATGTATAGATATTATAGCTGGTTACCTTGGCTACAAGTTAGGAAAAGTCAAAAATTGTACTGTAATTTTAACATTGTTTAATTCCTGTAACACGAAACAAAGAAATAACAAAAAAGTAAGAAACGAAAACCAGCAGAAACTAGCAAGAAAATATCAAAATGTCGTTTTTACAATCACTTCTTAAAAACACTTGAAATAAGAATAGAAGCTTTATTTTCACAATTAAAACAAATCATCAAGGAAATGCCACAAATTCGCTTGTATACAGTAAGTATCACATTTTGCTTGGATTTCTGGCAACATTTGCAACAGGATCTCGTTCTACTATGACTTTTGCGTACAATTTCTGTAAATAATCGGCAACACTAAATTTTTGTCTGCACATCAGCAGAGTATCGGCACATATGCACACAGTTGCTGTAGTGCTAAAATTGTTACGTAGTTCGAACGCACTGCTTTGCCAGCAAAACTTTGCTAACTAGCGATAATTAGCAGTTAAGATACAGACCTATTGCTTTGGTAATCAAACAATTGATTAACATGGTTATCTACATATGTTTAAGGTAACAAACAAGATTTTGGATTATATATGAAGAAATCTTTTAAATTCATTTTGTGCTAAAATTAACCAAAAGAAAAGAAATTTCAAAAATTAAAGTTCAACATATGTATGTGTATATACAATGTTCGTTATCAAATATGGCTTCAATTTATATAACATCTAGATAGTTTACGTACAAGCCGTAGAACTTCAGCACATCATTCTTTTCTTTCTCAACCGATTTACGCACAGCCTCTATGCCCTACACTTCAAATATTTCAATTCGATACGCAGCAACCATGGCGAAATGTGTGTTAGATTGAAATCGGGCATCTACTAATAGACATTTACGATTTCTTGATCCTCACCTCATAGTGACATTTACATAATCTTGATCTTCCGAGATGACAGTCTTCTGCGTATAAATAGCAGTGTTGGCCGTTACCTTCCGCAAGTTGGTATGCTAAAAACGTCACAGCACATTCTTAGTCTTCTCGCCGCCGCACACTCAATTTGCATATTTGACGACACCAGCAAAATAGAGTAAATGAATAAGTAGTTCATTTAAGCATTGCGCGGTCATGAGCAACAATTGTTTCTCCAGTGTTAGCTAATGCCTGCTGGAAATGCGTTTAATATCACCAATCAACCATTCGAACGCCTCGCCGACAGACGGAACTCCTCCGCTACATACTTCGTGCAAAGCGTGAAGCGCTGCAAATAGCAATGCAATACAACCTAGAAGATTCAAGACAATGTAAGTAATTGGTGTTTTCAAACATTGGGAAAATATCACTCGATTTCCAGCTCGGGTAGCGAGTTTTTCTCCGTCCTCTGCAATTATATTTAATCAATTCTTAAAAAAAAACATAAAATTCAAGAACTTACCTTCTTTATAAACGCTTTTGGAATCTATAAAACAAAATGAAATAATGTATATGAATTTTAACACGCATATCAAAACACGCGCATACCTCAACATTTTTTTCACAAATAATGCCGGCCAGTGTTGATGGAAAATGGTAAGTCTATATGTTAATCTCTTCTTTCGTACTGAAAATGTTGTATGATTAAAGTTGCTACTGTTACAACAGATTTCCCATTTAAAAGTATTTTTGATATGTAGTGAAATTTTACAAGTATGGTAGTGAATTAGTTACCACCGTCTTGTAGGACTTTATGTAATTGAATCAATCCATAAATTTTGTATGGCGCATACCTAAATAACCGCGGTGGCAACGCCGAGCGGTTGAAAATCGATTTTGACAGCGCGTTAAGCAGTAAAGTTGCCTGCAGAAAACGAAGCAATTATGGATGTAAGTATTATGAAATATAGAATCAGGTGCTCTGGTGTTTCCGGCTCCATGTCGCAGAATCGCAGTTTGCACAAAGCTATTCCCATGTTGGACAAGTGTTTTTAACCTGCATTGCCCAGTATGAAGCGCGACAAGGAAACGGAATGTGTCTCTGGGAAGGTTGATCATATCTTTGAACCTTGCCAGGTTGTACGCTCCTAATAGAGCTAGCATGGCCCTACCTATTGCCTGATGTCAGTAACTTTCTCTACCCACTCTCTCTCCGTGCGAAGCAGCTCCTTTATGTGTGGGACCCCACCGCAATGCATGGTTTTGGCCCATCATCCCAGAAGCCGCAGCAAAAGCCGGGCGAGTTCGTCGGCCAGCAGATCAAGTATACCGGTTGCAAACTGATAGGCGGTTCAGCCTTCCTATACACTGTTCCACTAATAGCGATTTAATCTCATAGGCTGATATTGCTTTTAGCGCCGCTTGACTATCGTTGAATATAGCGATACGCTTGTTACGATAGTTGCGTTGGAGATTAATTTTGCTACACTGACTTACAGCACAGACTTCTGCTTGAAAGGTGCTCGGAAAATATCCTATGGGTATGGAAGGCTTGGTATGCGGTCCCGCAATGCTGCTCCAATGCCTCCGGTGTTTTCGAGCCGTCAATGTACCACTGAATAGCGCTGCCCTTAGTAGTAGATCAAGTGTGGAATCACTCAAGTCCGCCTTACTGCCGAGAGTAACTTTAAACTTATGTTGAATTTACCCTCTTCGTAACACCGTCTCTTGGAAGAAGGCCAAACCTTCATTTGTTGAGACGAAATTATCTTCCTTATCCATACCTCTGCGGTTATAAGGTATGCTTCGCTGTCTGGTTGATCACTAGATGGAGCGTGTGAGCTCCAGCATAACCTCAATAATGCGGTTAGACAAATGCGCATAACCCCACAGGCGCAGACGCAGTCAAGTCTTTGCAGCATTGATAGTTAAAGACCTATTTAAGTCTGCGATGCTTTCGATGCCCAAGCCACCGTTCCATATGTAACGATAGGCCTCACGATCATGTATACAGCTACCTAATGATACTTGCAGCCCCAAGATGTACTGGCCAGACGTCTGCATATTATGAGTGCTTTTGTAGCTTAGTGTTTAATTCCACATACCTATTCCACCGTAAGGTGGAGTCTACTGTGCGATCTAATTATTAACCCTAAGTATTTAAGTTAGACACACTCTAACACCTCTAGAATTTTGGATTTCAGTCGTTAGTTGGTACAGAGTAGTGTTAGTAGACCTACCCGCTCTTACGCGTACTAATTTGCGTGTAGGGGTGCGACTTTCAGCGCCTTCGATCTTATACCGTTGTCTATAATCTTTGGCATACCTTTTAGCTTGAAGAAGTGAGACTAATATACCTGAAGGCCTGTAACTGAACATTTCATAATCTTGTAACATCAAAACCGGTTAAATACCTTCAGGTGTTAACAAAACTTTATATTAACCTAGTGTGACAGCCTAAAAAGATAATTTTTGGTAATTAAAAAAAAACACTGCATCGATTGTTTAGAAATATTCAGGTATATTTATACATGTTCAAGATCTCCGTCGGACGCTAAAAAAAGATCCACTGCTGCAGGTGATCGGCCTTCTCCGTGGATGAAACCTAAAAATAAAATTCCGTCAAACTAAAATATTCTCCTACAAATAAAAATATCAAAAATTTTAAAAATGGCGGTTTAGAAATACATACAGAACAGGCAGATACAAATTTCATGGTGATCGGAACATTTTGTCTTCGAGTTATCACTAAAGCGAATTCGAAAATGCTGTTTCGAGACAAACGCGGACTGACTGATGGAGCGATTGAACTGGGCAGCCGCCCTTTAAATGGCTGTATCTAAAAAGAAATGTGTGATATCGATTTGAAATTTTAGTAAAGCCTCTTAAAAGTAAGTAATTAATTTAAAATAAAAATGAAAATCTAGTCAATAGTTTCGGATTTGTAGTCAAATATGCCGCGTGTACAAGTCTTTTCAGAATTTGAGCCGGAACTAGCACTAGGTTTGCATGAAAGTGTTTAAGCATAAAAGAAATTAGCGCAGTAATAAACCGCTATTGAAATACAAATAGTAATTTCCTACAAACCAAAATAATGGTACTAATAAGAGCAGTGGTAGAAAAACCAAAATAGATGATCGATGCAAAGATCAATTTACCACCATGCACTAATTGATGAACTGAGTTTTCACAAATAAAGCGTTATTTGGGTTTAACTGTAAAAAAATTAGAATTTGCCAAATACAACATCAAAATCCTATCACAAAACTCCTTTCTATGCATCACAGGCCGGACCTTTTTGCCTAGACACATAAGCGCTCGTTTAGCATTTACAGATACATAAATACCAATTTTGGACAAATAGTGACGAAGCTGGTATTCAACGCGTGAAAGATTGTTATAAGAAGTATTGGCATCATACACTAAACCTCGGCGCACCTGTATACGTCGAGTACAAGGCGGTGGTTGTATTGTGATGTGAAGCACCGATGTATTTGGATTGCTTGACACCGATCCACAATGCAACACTTACTAAAAGGTTTTTCGAGTATAGAAGAATTCCACTTTTGTAGTGGCGAGTAAAAAGCCGCAATTGAACCTATCGAGGATCTGTATGTATTATTTCTGCTAAATTTTCTAAAAATGAGCGCCAGTTTTACCGTAAAATAATTAAAATGACAATATAGCTAGAATGGCTTCAATGGCAGGTCAACGCTAAAATCTTTGGTTGAATCGATGACATATCGAATTTAGACTTGATTGAATTTGAAAAAAAAAAACTTTCTATTTAAGTTTAAAGTTTCCAGTGAAGTGTTCCAATTTGTATATGGCTCACTGTATGGATGTGTGCTATATTTCTTTGACTAATTGTGTCCCCGCAAACAATTTAATATATGTACATAAAACGTCTTCGTTTAGTATATCAGTAGTCATCTATTCTGTTTGCAAAATTAGTGTTATAATATACATGTATTTATTGGATACTAAACCAGTTCGCAGAGTAGAAATATGGGCTTGTATATACATACATACATATTACATATGTGATGTACCATACATATCTTGATTTTTAATAATATTCAAATAATAATTTGCGCAAGTTGATGATAACTAATTTTCAGTTGATCTTGCCAACGAAAGGAATAACACCCATTTAAAAATGCTTAAATGCTTGTATGTAAGTAAACTTTCGAAACAATTTATTTTTGTAGGACTTAGTTGCTTTAATTTCGTTAGTTCGTTATATTTTTGTCGATTGACAAGTATTTCCACATGTACGTATATACATACATATATGTATGTCATATACATATAGCTATATTTAAAGGTTTTGCTACTAGTTTTCGTTGGGACTGTAACCGCTAATGAGGAAGATGTCCAGGCAGAGTTAAATCGAATTACCGCGTATTGATGCTCAAGGACATTTCACCTATGGATATGAGGCAACCAATGAGTGGAAGCTAAGTACAGGGCGATGTCAATGGAATTCGAGGTGAATATTTCCTTCCCGGTGAAAATAATGAGACGAGTATCTTACATAGCGATTCCAGCGGTTGCCATAACTAAGCTCCGCAATAAAATACAAGACTGTTATTTGGTAACAGGATCACATTAAGGAGGGGCATCTACAGTTAAAATATTTTTAAAAGTGGGCGTGGTCACGCTCCCTAATACGTTTAATGCACATTCTCTTCTCCTAAACCGCTAAAACTATAATAACAAAATTCACTGGAAGCAAACACGCCAGAGACATTAAATTTATCTCTATATGGTTGAGATGACTTTATAGGAACCGCGTTCAATTAACGGTACTGTTAAAAATACTAAAGCGCGATGAACCAAGCACTAAACACGCCAAAGCCATTAATTTTATCTCTAGGATGGTATGAGATGACTTTATAGGAACCGCGTTCAAAATTAGTCAGTGGGCATGGCACCTCCCACTTTTAGGTGAAACCCCATATCTTGGATGTGCTTAACCGATTTCAACCAAATTCTGTTCATAACAACATTCTTTCAATATTTCTATGTTATAGTGCGAAAATGGGCGAAATCGGATTACAACCACGCCTATTTCCCATATAACACCATTTAAATTCCATCTGATTCTTTCACTTTCCACTATGCAAATCAACAACATGATTGTATCGGGGTAAAACTTTGCGAAGGTTGCGTGAATTATGGTTTAAAGTGCTGCACCTTGTGACCAAAATTCTCTAAATCGATCAAAACTGTTCAGCCCTAGGTACTGAAATATATTGACCCCAGTGCATAGTGGACCTTCTACCGAAAATTCAGTCAATTCACAAAGAAATTTCAAACGAGTATTCTATTTGACTTTCGAGAGTATAAAATGTTCGGTTACATCCGAACTTAGCCTTTCCTTACTTGTTTTTAATTTTTTGTTTTAAATGAACTTTTTGAAAAAACACATCAGAAAATTATATATGATCAATTCTTCAGATAATCGGTTTTTTTTACCTAAATCGTTATTTTTGAAGTTCAACATTTTTCAAAAATACTTAAATTAATATGACAACTTTTCCCGCTTATCCTGGAGGGGCTCGAACTTTTTCTTAACTTTTTTATTCAATTGAAAAAAGTTGTCAAATTTCAAAATTTAATTTTTTTATTTTAAGTTATTTCTATAATAAAATAAATGTAATTTAAATGTTTTTGTGGTATGATATCCTTAATTTATTAACTTATAAGACGATTTTAAATACTAAGATTCAAATTTGAACATATCAGTAAGAGCGATAATCTAGATATGACATTATGAACTTATCTATAGTCAGTATACTAAAACTATACGCTAGTATTGTTTCGATTAAAGCACGACTGTCATGCCCATATCCATGGATGACCTTGTTTGAAAGATTATTGGGAAAATTCGAGTATAACGTCCCACGCTTTCGGATAAAATGGGTATGGGCGGATATAGGAAGATCCTCCAGATCAGAATATATATAGATATAGCCGGGAAACTTATAGTTTCAAGATAATTGGGTTTAAAGTTCAAAATTTCGACTATTTAAAGTACGCATTTTTCCCATTTCGAATGAGTTATACACTTATATTTTCCATCTTTTATATCCACTAACACTTCACTAATTCGTTTGTACACATTTATTTACATTATATAGTGCAAAAATAGTTAATTCAATAATTGAATTATTGTTAAATTCTATTAATTCTGACCATACAAAAGGTTGCAAATTTCAAATAACAGTGTTACCTTATCGACATCTTTTGTAATTGAACTGAAAGAAATTAAAACAGATAATACCCCAAATATAGGAATCCAAAACCTAGAGAAATAAACTATTACAAAGCATTGATGTTAAGTAGTATGTTATACCCTCAATGACAATATTACTTTTTCTTGTAGAACTTCTTTTGCGTTGGGCGGCCTTCGGCCGCGCTTCAAATAATAACCCTGGTCGGTCCAACACAGGTGTATCAAATATTTTTCGCGCGAGAACTTCCTTTGCGTTGCGGCCTTCGGCCGCGCTTTAAAAAAATAACCCTGGTCGGTCCAACACCGGGTGTATCAAGGTTTTTTGCGCAGAACTCCTTTTTGCGTTGGCGGCCTTCGGCCGCGCTTCAAAAAATAACCCTGTCGATCCAACCCGGGTGTACCAAAGTTTTACGCGCAGAAATTCTTTTTTGCGTGTTTCCTGTATCTAGGGTACAATTCTCGTTTATTTTTATTTTCTTCGTTTACAAAATATATTAGTATGCAACAATGATGTTTGGACATTCACAACCATTTTGTTATTGTCAAAATTAATAAAATTGGACAATGATTTAAATATTGAAATAAGCTATTTTGCAGCATCTAATATAAAAAATTTCTAAACGAATTAGTTAAGTGTTAGTGGATATAAAGTGCAAAAAAAAGTGTATAATTCATTTTAAATCTCAAAAATACGCACTTAATAGTTGAAATTTGAACTTTAAACCCAATTATCTCGAAAACTATAAGTTTCCCGCGGCTATATCTATATATATTCTTGATCTGGAGGATCTCCTCTATCCGCCCATACCCATTTTATCCCCGAAAGCGTGGGACGTTATTCTAAAGCCGACCCGAATTATTATCTTACTTCTACACATCTACAGTGTTTAGAATAATTTCATCGCGACATAATGGCATCAAAAATACATTATAAAAGTCACGTTAGAGTTAAGTGATAATTATTTATTATGCAGTTCGTGTCGAAGAGAAGCTTCAAAATTGGTAAAGGAACAAACAAATACTAGTAATGATACTAACGTTGATGCAAGTGACCATGAAGATGGTGCTGACAGTGATAGTAACGCATCTCCCGTTGTTTTCATCATTCCGTAAGTTTTTTTTAAATATTCATACATTACTTGAATGCATTTTCGTTTTGTTTTTGTTTTTTTTAAGGTTCCTTGTCGTTCAATAGTAAATCCAAAGATTCACAATCCAGCTCGGCATCCCAAGTTAGTGCAACTCAATTACCTGTTATAAACGATGCATTGCGACTATTAAATCAATCGCCGATTCCTTCAAAAATATTGAATGATTATCAATTTTTGATTAATAAAATAAATCAGACATCTGACAGCTTAAAAAAATTTTTTGCTCTCAGCTACTGACGAAGGATCAATTGACGACGATGGGGAAAATTTTCGTTCAATAATTGAAAAGCTGCACGATAAATTCAACGACAAAGAAACAGAAAAGTCTTTGAAAATACAAATTTTAACCTTGTTAGCTGAAAAATGGAGTGAAAGACGTATTTTTGAAACTATGAATTCATCAAGAGTAGCACACGTCCAAAAACTATCTATCTACTATCTGTGTATGTTCTATCCATCAAAACATTAGTTGATGATGCTTGGTAATTATCCAATTTATTAATAATCATAGATTTTCAGTTTACTAAATCACTTTTATTTCAGGTGCAAATGTTCACTTTTTAAGGAGGAATACAGAAAAGTCGTTGAAACACTGTAATGATTGCTCGGACATGATAATATGTGAGACTCCAACAGTAAAATGTTATTTGAGTGAATGTAACAAGTGTCCAGGGGTAGATGAGTTGAGGAACATTTTACTGACATGTTTTGAGAATCAGGAAATCGAGAATGTCACGTACAAGCGTTGGGTATCAAAACCAAGGTGTAGTTTAGAAACTTTTATACAGCCTACAGAAGAATTTATTGAAAACTTTTGTAGTGATTTGAAAGTTCTTCTACCTATTCATCATTGCAAAAGAAACAAGCTCAGTTTTTAAAAACAATGAAGGAAACACTAAAACCAAATGAATTTGTGATATTTTGTGATTGAAGAAGACTATAATACAGCATTGAATGACAGATTTACAAAACTTACCGATCCAAACAGGGTTATTTCAGTCGGTAACCGACTCCCTCTCAGTGAATGGCGTAATACGAGTCAAACCACCACCCATTGCAGACACAGAGCTCGAGTTGCCTCGCGAATCTAGTGTGACCCTCGCGCAACTTCGTTCTGGATACTGTAGCAGGTTAAACTCCTACCTATCCAGAATAGACCCTGACATACCAAACACATGTCCTGCATGCAATGAGTCTCCGCATGACACTAACCACCTCTTTGCATGCCCAACAAACCCCACTCATCTAACACCCCTCTCCCTATGGTCCACACCCGTCTCGAAACAGCTCGTTTCCTGGGCCTTCCGTTAGATGACCTCGACGACAACGAATCTAGAATTTATCACCCAAACAGGATTAGATAATCGTTACAACAACAACAACAGATTTACAAAAACGAAACCAATTGTTAGAACTCAAAACAACAATGTGTAATCCCCGACAAAAATTGGTTGTAATATTAGAATTCAAGGAATCTTTCCAAGAACATCAAAAATTCTCAAAGAATAAAGTTAACATATATCTTCTTGTGTTAAAATAAGCAACAAATAATAAATGTAAAAAAGCAATTGTAAATTTAACAATATTTTTATTAATTAAATAATAAGCATCACATGACATTTAGTGTTGATATAGTTCGGGAAATTTATAGTTGGGCCAGAGAGAAACTTGAAGACTAGCTAATTGCCATATCCAATGATGGCGGATTTATATGTTTTCGAATCACATTAAATTGTGTTTTTATCGCCGCAGCAAATTAAAATATTTCTCTCACTAGTAGTATTATTACAACCAGCTTCACGTAACGTTCCAGTGCCAAATCACGTCCCTGATTTAGACGAAGAAGTGCAAACACATCAGCAACAATATAAACATTAATTACCGCAGTTTAAGAAATCATGCCGTTTGTTCATACATACATGAACTGGGATAAACAAAAGTATATAGAGTGTATTGGATGAGCAATGAAACACATTCACAACAAGGTGGATCTTTGGTTGTTATAAAATTCTCATATATGATCACTAATTCGTTCAATTTTACCTCTACCATAGAGTTTACAACATCACAATGGCTTCTCCCCGTATATTTTTTATTTATTTTCCAATTCTGGTACAAGCATACTGAACGTTTACTTATAATCAAGCTGCAGCATGCGAAATACTAAATCGGAACATTTTCCCAGCTTTCAGAAATTTGCTCCGACCACTATAAAGAATTTCAAACTCTTTACCAGCTTGTCTGCAAAACAAGCAAAGTGTCAAAAATATATTACAATCAACCAGTTTTTCTTACCAAATTTTATAGCGGTTTGCCCTCACTAAACCCCTCGAAAATAAAGTGGGGGAAATCACTGGTCGGAATTCTCCTGGATATCACAGAGAATGGAATAGAGTTTTTTTTGAATTGAGAAATCGTAAACGATGCAGCCATGTTTTTGAATTCAATTATTAAATTCAACAAAATATATAGCTAGTGATATTTCCAACAAAGTTGGATTATTGCAAGGAAAAAGTAATTTTTTTATTATTGATATAATTTAACATATGACTATACCACATTTAACTATTTATGATTATAATGTTATATTGGATATCTGTATAAAACTTTCAAAAAACCAAAATTTGTAAATTTTCAACCAGAAACTATGCCATCATTAAAAAAACATCAGCTGTTTAACTTTATCAAATGCTTTTAATACTGAGATAAAGAAGATGCCCAACTCATCTCTCACTGTGAAATAAGCGCAATTGCTAAACGCCAAACCTCCTGAACTCAGCAACTGTCAAAGTTCAGGAGGTCTGACGTTTAGCCAATTGAAAAAAGGACGCGAATTGAAATCTTAATCTACAGAAAATATGTGAACTGACGAGATTTGTTGCTGCGTTGAATCACTATAAAAATTGATAAACAATGAAAGAAAGAAAAAAAAATTAAAATATATTGAATTGACAATCTTTGTGTATGCCATGTCTAGTAGCATTAATATTCAATTATGTATTGAAAGTTCGGAAAAATCAAATTGTTTTAATATATACAAAAAAGGGTTTAAATAGTTTCTGCATATGTTTTAACGATATATTATAATAATATATAATCTTAATAAACGTTGGGTATTTTAATTTAAACTCCAAAAATTATTATTGTCCGAGCTGGCTACAATGAATCTCTCCTAACTCGATTAGTTTTAGGTGATACAAACAACCGTTAGGTGAACAAAACTATTATACTCTGTAGCAACAGGTTGCGAGAGTATAATAATCAAACGCAACAAAATCGAAAACAGCATGACACGCTGAATGAGGTGTACCTAAACTTTTTTGAGTACTTTTTGGCTGCTTTTTTAATTCACAGCGTCTAAGTGGCGCCACAAGATAGATAACGGCACAACAATCACTCAGTAACGATGAGCATAATGCTGTTCTAAAAATGTACATAACGGGTTTTTTTTTTTAACTTTTGTTGAAATTAGTTGTTTGTGTACGAATTGTGTTTTTAGTACGAATTGTTACTGTACCTAAGATGATGCATGTATAGATATTATAGCTGGTTACCTTGGCTACAAGTTAGGAAAAGTCAAAAATTGTACTGTAATTTTAACATTGTTTAATTCCTGTAACAACGAAACAAAGAAATAACAAAAAAAGTAAAGAAACGAAAACCAGCAGAAACTAGCAAGAAAATATCAAAATGTCGTTTTTTACAATCACTTCTTAAAAACACTTGAAATAAGAATAGAAGCTTTATTTTCACAATTCAAAACAAATCATCAAAGGAAATGCCACAAATATCGCTTGTATACAGTAAGTATCACATTTTGCTTGGATTTCTGGCAACATTTGCAACAGGATCTCGTTCTACTATGACTTTTTGCGTACAATTTCTGTAAATAATCGGCAACACTAAATTTTTGTCTGCACATCAGCAGAGTATCGGCACATATGCAACACAGTTGCTGTAGTGCTAAAATTGTTACGTAGTTCGAACGCACTGCTTTGCCAGCAGAAACTTTGCTAACTAGCGATAATTAGCAGTTAAGATACAGACCTATTGCTTTGGTAATCAAACAATTGATTAACATGGGTTATCTACATATGTTAAGGTAACAAACAAGATTTTGGATTATATATGAAGAAATCTTTTAAATTCATTTTTGTGCTAAAATTAACCAAAAGAAAAGAAATTTCAAAAATTAAAGTTCAACATATGTATGTGTATATACAATGTTCGTTATCAAATATGGCTTCAATTATATATAACATCTAGATAGTTTACGTACAAGCCGTAGAACTTCAGCACATCATTCTTTTCTTTCTCAACCGATTTACGCACAGCCTCTATGCCCTACACTTCAAATATTTCAATTCGATACGCAGCAACCATGGCGAAATGTGTGTTAGATTGAAATCGGGCATCTACTAATAGACATTTACGATTTCTTGATCCTCACCTCATAGTAGACATTTACATAATCTTGATCTTCCGAGATGACAGTCTTCTGCGTATAAATAGCAGTGTTGGCCGTTACCTTCCGCAAGTTGGTATGCTAAAAACGTCACAGCACATTCTTAGTCTTCTCGCCGCCGCACACTCAATTTTGCATTATTTGACGACACCAGCAAAATAGAGTAAATGAATAAGTAGTTCATTTAAGCATTGCGCGGTCATGAGCAACAATTGTTTCTCCAGTGTTAGCTAATGCCTGCTGGAAATGCGTTTTAATATCACCAATCAACCATTCGAACGCCTCGGCCGACAGACGGAACTCCTCCGCTACATACTTCGTGCAAAGCGTGAAGCGCTGCAAATAGCAATGCAATACAACCTAGAAGATTCAAGACAATGTAAGTAATTGGTGTTTTCAAACATTGGGAAAATATCACTCGATTTCCAGCTCGGGTAGCGAGTTTTTCTCCGTCCTCTGCAATTATATTTAATCAATTCTTAAAAAAAAAAACATAAAATTCAAGAACTTACCTTCTTTATAAACGCTTTTGGAATCTATAAAACAAAATGAAATAATGTAATATGAATTTTAACACGCATATCAAAACACGCGCATACCTCAACATTTTTTTCACAAATAATGCCGGCCAGTGTTGATGGAAAATGGTAAGTCTATATGTTAATCTCATTCTTTCGTACTGAAAAATGTTGTATGATTAAAGTTGCTACTGTTACAACAGAGTTTCCCATTTAAAAAGTATTTTTGAATATGTAGTGAAATTTTACAAGTATGGTAGTGAATTAGTTACCACCGTCTTGTAGGGACTTTATGTAATTGAATCAATCCATAAATTTTGTATGGCGCATACCTAAATAACCGCGGTGGCAACGCCGAGCGGTTGAAAATTCGATTTTGACAGCGCGTTAAGCAGTAAAGTTGCCTGCAGAAAACGAAGCAATTATGGATGTAAGTATTATGAAATATAGAATCAGGTGCTCTGGTGTTTCCGGCTCCATGTCGCAGAATCGGCAGTTTGCACAAGAAGCTATTCCCATGTTGGACAAGTGTTTTTTTAACCTGCATTGCCCAGTATGAAGCGCGACAAGGAAACGGAATGTGTCTCTGGGAAGGTTGATCATATCTTTGAACCTTGCCAGGTTGTACGCTCCTAATAGCAGCTTAGCATGGCCCATACCTATTGCCTGATGTCAGTAACTTTCTCTACCCACTCTCTCCTCCGTGCGAAGCAGCTCCTTTATGGTGTGGGACCCCACCGCAATGCATGGTTTTGGCCCCATCATCCCAGAAGCCGCAGCAAAGCCGGGCGAGTTCGTCGGCCAGCAGATCAAGTATACACGGTTGCAAACTGATAGGCGGTTCAGCCTTCCTATACACTGTTCCACTAATAGCGATTTAATCTCATAGGCTGATATTGCTTTTAGCGCCGCTTGACTATCGTTGAATATAGCGATACGCTTGTTACGATAGTTGCGTTGGAGATTAATTTCTGTACACTGACTTACAGCACAGACTTCTGCTTGAAAGGTGCTCGGAAAATATCCTATGGGTATGGAAGGCTTGGTATGCGGTCCCGCAATGCCTGCTCCAATGCCCTCCGGTGTTTTCGAGCCGTCAATGTACCACTGAATAGCGCTGCCCCTTAGTAGTAGATCAAGTGTGGAATCACTCAAGTCCGCCTTACTGCCGAGAGTAACTTTAAACTTTATTGTGAAGTTTACCCTCTTCGTAACACCGTCTCTTGGAAGAAGGGCCAAACCCTTCATTTGTTGAGACGAAATTATCTTCCTTTATCCATACCTCTGCGGTTATAAGGTATGCTTCGCTGTCTGGTTGATCACTAGATGGAGCGGTGTGAGCTCCAGCATAACCTCAAGTAATGCGGTTAGACAAATGCGCATAACCCCACAGGCGCAGACGCAGTCAAGTCTTTGCAGCATTGATAGTTAAAGACCTATTTAAGTCTGCGATGCTTTCGATGCCCAAGCCACCGTTCCATATGTAACGATAGGCCTCACGATCATGGTATACAGCTACCTAATGATACTTGCAGCCCCAAGATGTACTGGCCAGACGTCTGCATATTATGAGTGCTTTTGTAGCTTTAGTGTTTAATTCCACATACCTATTCCACCGTAAGGTGGAGTCTACTGTGCGATCTAATTATTAACCCTAAGTATTTAAGTTAGACACACTCTAACACCTCTAGAATTTTGGATTTCAGTCGTTAGTTGGTACAGAGTAGTGTTAGTAGACCTACCCGCTCTTACGCGTACTAATTTGCGTGTAGGGGTGCGACTTTCAGCGCCTTCGATCTTATACCGTTGTCTATAATCTTTGGCATACCTTTTAGCTTGAAGAAGTGAGACTAATATACCTGAAGGCCTGTAACTGAACATTTCATAATCTTGTAACATCAAAACCGGTTAAATACCTTCAGGTGTTAACAAAACTTTATATTAACCTAGTGTGACAGCCTAAAAAAGATAATTTTTGGTAATTAAAAAAAAAAACCACTGCATCGATTGTTTAGAAATATTCAGGGTATATTTATACATGTTTCAAGATCTCCGTCGGACGCTAAAAAAAAGATCCACTGCTGCAGTGATTCCGGCCTTCTCCGTGGATGAAACCTAAAAATAAAAATTCCCGTCAAACTAGAAAATATTCTCCGTACAAATAAAAAATATCAAAAATTTTAAAAATGGCGGCGTTTAAGAAAAATACATACAGAACAGGCAGATACAAATTTCATGGTGATCGGAACATTTGTCTTCGAGTTATCACTAAAGCGAATTCGAAAAATGCTGTTTCGAGACAAACGCGGACTGACTGATGGAGCGGATTGAACTGGGCAGCCGCCCTTTAAATGGCTGTATCTAAAAAAGAATGTGTGATATCGATTTGAAATTTTAGTAAAGCCTCTTAAAAGTAAGTAATTAATTTAAAATAAAAATGAAAATCTAGTCAATAGTTTCGGATTTGTAGTCAAATATGCCGCGTGGTACAAGTCTTTCAGAATTTGAGCCGGAACTAGCACTAGGTTTGCATGAAAGTGGTTTAAGCATAAAAGAAATTAGCGCAGTAATAAACCGCTATTGAAATACAAATAGTAATTTCCTACAAACCAAAATATGGTACTAATAAGAGCAGTGGTAGAAAAACCAAAATAGATGATCGATGCAAAGATCAAATTTACCACCATGCACTAATTGATGAACTGAGTTGTTCACAAATAAAGCGTTATTTGGGTTTAACTGTAAAAAAATTAGAATTTGCCAAATACAACATCAAAATCCTATCACAAAACTCCTTTCTATGGCATCACAGCCGGACCTTTTTGCCTAGACACATAAGCGCTCGTTTAGCATTTACAGATACATAAATACCAATTTTGGGACAAATAGTGACGAAGCGTGGTATTCAACGGTGAAAGATTGTTATAAGAAGTATTGGCATCATACACTAAACCCTCGGCGCACCTGTATACGTCGAGTACAAGGCGGTGGTTGTATTGTGATGTGAAAGCACCGATGTATTTGGATTTGCTTGACACCGATCCACAATGCAACACTTACTAAAAGGTTTTTCGAGTATAGAAGAATTCCACTTTTGTAGTGGCGAGTAAAAAGCCCGCAATTGAACCCTATCGAGGATCTGTATGTATTATTATCTGCTAAATTTTCTAAAAATGAGCGCCAGTTTTATACCGTAAAATAATTAAAAATGACAATATAGCTAGAATGGGCTTCAATGGGCAGGTCAACGCTAAAATCTTTGGTTGAATCGATGACATATCGATATTTAGACTTGGATTGAATTTGAAAAAAAAAAATTTACTTTCTTATTTAAGTTTAAAGTTTCCAGTGTGAAGTGTCCAATTTTGTATATGGCTCACTGTATGGGATGTGTGCTATATTTCTTTGACTAATTTGTGTCCCCGCAAACAATTTAATATATGTACATAAAAACGTCTTCGTTTAGTATATCAGTAGTCATCTATTCTGTTTGCAAAATTAGTGTTATATATAATACATGTAATTTATTGGATGACTAAACCAGTTCGCAGAGTAGAAATATGGGCTTGTATATACATACATACATATGTACATATGTGTATGTACCCATACATATCTTGATTTTTAATAATATTCAAATAATAATTTGCGCAAGTTGATGATAACTAATTTTCAGTTGATCTTGCCAACGAAAAGGAATAACACCCATTTTAAAAATGCTTAAATGCTTGTATGTAAGTAAAACTTTCGAAACATTTATTTTTGTAGGACTTAGTTGCTTTAATTTCGTTAGTTCGTTATATTTTTGTCGATTGACAAGTATTTCCACATGTACGTATATACATACATATATGTATGTACATATACATATATGCTATATTTAAAGGTTTTGCTACTAGTTTTCGTTGGGACTGTAACCGCTAATGAGGAAGATGTCCAGGCAGAGTTAAAATCGAATTACCGCGATATTGATGCTCAAGGACATTTCACCTATGGATATGAGGCAACCAATGGAGTGGAAGCTAAAGTACAGGGCGATGTCAATGGAATTCGAGGTGAATATTTCCTTCCCGGTGAAAATAATGAGACGAGTATCTTACATAGCCGATTCCAGCGGTTGCCATAACTAAGCTCCGCAATAAAATACAAGACTGTTATTTGGTACACAGGATCACATTAAGGAGGGGCATCTACAGTTAAAAATATTTTTAAAAAGTGGGCGTGGTCACGCTCCCTAATACGTTTAATGCACATTCTCTTCTCCTAAACCGCTAAAACTATAATAACAAAATTCACTGGAAGCAAACACGCCAGAGACATTAAATTTTATCTCTATAATGGTATGAGATGACTTTATAGGAACCGCGTTCAATATAACGGTACTGTTAAAAAATACTAAAAGCGCGATGAACCAAGCACTAAACACGCCAAAGCCATTAAATTTTATCTCTAGGATGGTATGAGATGACTTTATAGGAACCGCGTTCAAAATTAGTCAGTGGGCATGGCACCTCCCACTTTTAGGTGAAACCCCATATCTTGGGATGTGCTTAACCGATTTCAACCAAATTCTGTTCATAACAACATTCTTTCAATATTTCTATGTTATAGTGCGAAAATGGGCGAAATCGGATTACAACCACGCCTATTTCCCATATAACACCATTTTAAATTCCATCTGATTCTTTCACTTTCCACTATGCAAATCAAGCAACAATGATTGTATCGGGGTAAAACTTTGCGAAGGTTGCGTGAATTATGCGTTTAAAGTGCTGCACCTTGTGACCAAAAATTCTCTAAATCGAATCAAAACTGTTCCAGCCCCTAGGTACTGAATATATTGACCCCAGTGCCTATAGTGGACCTTCTACCGAAAATTTCAGTCAATTCACAAAGAAATTTCAAACGAGTATTCTATTTGACTTTGCGAGAGTATAAAATGTTCGGTTACATCCGAACTTAGCCTTTCCTTACTTGTTTTTTAATTTTTGTTTTTAAATGAACTTTTTGAAAAAACACATCAGAAAATTATATATGATCAATTCTTCAAGATAATCGGTTTTTTTTTTACCTAAATCGTTATTTTTTTGAAGTTCAACATTTTTTTTCTAAAAAAATACTTAAATTAATATGACAACTTTTCCCGCTTATCCTGGAGGGGCTCGAACTTTTTCTTAACTTTTTTATTCAATTGAAAAAAAGTTGTCAAATTTCCAAAAATTTAATTTTTTTTATTTTTAAGTTATTTCTATAATAAAATAAATGTAATTTAAATGTTTTGTGGTATGATATCCTTAATTTATTAACTTATAAGACGATTTTAAATACTAAGATTCAAATTTGAACATATCAGTAAGAGCGATAATCTAGGATATGACAATTATGAACTTATCTATAGTCAGTATACTAAAAACTATACGCTAGTATTGTTTCGATTCATAAGCACGACTGTCATGCCCATATCCATGGATGACCTTGTTTGAAAGAATTATTGGGAAAACTTCAGTATAACGTCCCACGCTTTCGGGGATAAAATGGGTATGGGCGGATATAGGAGATCCTCCAGATCAAGAATATATATAGATATAGCCGCGGAAACCTTATAGTTTTAAATAATTGGGTTTAAAGTTCAAAATTTCGACTATTTAAAGTACGCATTTTCCCATTTCGAATAGTATAACACTTATATTTTCCACTTTTATATCCACTAACACTTCACTAATTCGTTTGTACACATTTATTTTACATATATAGTGCAAAAATAGTTTAATTCAATAATTGAATTATTGTTAAATTCTATTAATTCTGACCATAACAAAAGGTTGCAAAATTTCAAATAACCAGTGTTACCTTATCGACATCTTTTAATTGAACTGAAAGAAATTAAAACAGATAATACCCCAAATATAGGAATCCAAAACCTGAGAATAAACTATTACAAAGCATTGATGTTAAGTAGTATGTTATACCCTCAATGACAATATTACTTTTTCTTGTAGAACTTCTTTTTGCGTTGGCGGCCTTCGGCCGCGCTTCAAATAATACCCTGGTCGGTCAACACCGAGTGTATCAAATATTTTTCGCGCAGAACTTCCTTTTGCGTTGGCGGCCTTCGGCCGCGCTTTAAAAAAATAACCCTGGTCGGTCCAACACCGGGGTGTATCAAGGTTTTTTTGCGCAGAACTCCTTTTTGCGTTGGCGGCCTTCGGCCGCGCTTCAAAAAAAAACCTGGTCGATCCAACACCGGTGTACCAAGTTTTTACGCGCAAAATTCTTTTTGTTCCTGTATCTAGGGTACAATCTCTCGTTTATTTTATTTTTCTTCTTACAAAATATATTAGTGCAACATTAGTTTGGACATTCACAACCATTTTGTTATTGTCAAAATTATAAAATTGGACAATGATTTAAATATTGAAATAAGCTTTTTGGCAGCATCTAATATAAAAAAAATTTCAAAACAATTAGTTAAGTGTTAGTGGATATAAAAGTGCAAAAAAAAGTTAATAATTCATTTTAAAATCTCAAAAATACCACTTTAATTAGTTGAAATTTTGAACTTTAAACCCAATTATCTCGAAACTATAAGTTTCCCCCGCTATATCTATATATTCTTGATCTGGAGGATCTCCTCTATCCGCCCATACCCATTTTATCCCGAAAGCGTGGGACGTTATTCTAAAGCCGACCCGAATTATTATTTACTTTACACATCTACAGTGTTTAGAATAATTTCATCGCGACATAATGGCATCAAAAATACATATAAAAGTCACGTTAGAGTTAAGTGAGATATTTATTATGCATGTTCGCAAGAGAAGCTTCAAAATTGTAAGGAACAAACAAATACTAGTAATGATACTAACGTTGATGAGTGACCATGAAGATGTGCTGACAGTATAGTAACGCATCTCCCGTTGTTTTCATCATTCCGTAAGTTTTTTTAAATTCATACATTACTTGAATGCATTTTTTGTTTGTTTTTTTTTATAGTTCCTTGTCGTTCAATAGTAAATCCAAGATTCACAATCCAGCTCGGCATCCCAAGTTAGTGCAACTCAATTACCTGTTATAAACGATGCATTGCGACTATAATCAATCGCCGATTCCTCAAAATATTGAATGATTATCAATTTTTGATTAATAAAATAAATCAGACATCTGACAGCTTAAAAAAATTTTTTGCTCTCAGCTACTGACGAAGGATCAATTGACGACGATGGGGAAAATTTTCGTTCAATAATTGAAAAGCTGCACGATAAATTCAACGACAAAGAAACAGAAAAGTCTTTGAAAATACAAATTTTAACCTTGTTAGCTGAAAAATGGAGTGAAAGACGTATTTTTGAAACTATGAATTCATCAAGAGTAGCACACGTCCAAAAACTATCTATCTACTATCTGTGTATGTTCTATCCATCAAAACATTAGTTGATGATGCTTGGTAATTATCCAATTTATTAATAATCATAGATTTTCAGTTTACTAAATCACTTTTATTTCAGGTGCAAATGTTCACTTTTTAAGGAGGAATACAGAAAAGTCGTTGAAACACTGTAATGATTGCTCGGACATGATAATATGTGAGACTCCAACAGTAAAATGTTATTTGAGTGAATGTAACAAGTGTCAGGTAGAAGATGAGGAACATTTTACTGACATGTTTTGAGAATCAGGAAATCGAGAATGTCACGTACAAGCGTTGGGTATCAAAACCAAGGTGTAGTTTAGAAACTTTTATACAGCCTACAGAAGAATTTATTGAAAACTTTTGTAGTGATTTGAAAGTTCTTCTACCTCATTCATTCATTGCAAAAGAACAAGCTCAGTTTTTAAAAACAATGAAGGAAACACTAAAACCAAATGAATTTGTGATATTTTGTGATTGAAGAAGACTATAATACAGCATTGAATGACAGATTTACAAAACTTACCGATCCAAACAGGGTTATTTCAGTCGGTAACCGACTCCCTCTCAGTGAATGGCGTAATACGAGTCAAACCACCACCCATTGCAGACACAGAGCTCGAGTTGCCTCGCGAATCTAGTGTGACCTCGCGCAACTTCTTCTGGATACTGTAGCAGGTTAAACTCCTACCTATCCAGAAAGACCCTGACATACCAACACATGTCCTGCATGCAATGAGTCTCCGCATGACACTAACCACCTCTTTGCATGCCCAACAAACCCCACTCATCTAACACCCCTCTCCCTATGGTCCGACCCCGTCGAAACAGCTCGTTTCCTGGGCCTTCCGTTAGATGACCTCGACGACAACGAATCTAGAATTTATCACCCAAACAGGGATTAGATAATCGTTACAACAACAACAACAGATTTAACAAAAACGAAACCAATTGTAGGAACCACAACTACATTGTGTAATCCCCGACAAAAATGTTGGAAATATTAGAATTGAAGGAATCTTTCCAAGAACATCAAAATTCTCAAAAAAGTTACATATATTTCTTGTGTATAAAATACAACAAATTAATAAATGTAAAAAAAAGCAATTGTAAATTTAAACTATTTTTATTAATAAATAATAAGGCATCACATGACATTTAGTGTTGATATAGTTCGGAGTAATTTATTTAGGCCAGAGAAACTTGAAGACTAGCTAATTGCATATCCAATGATGGCGGATTTACTAGTTTTCGAATCACATTAAATTTTGGGTGTTTTTATCGCGCAGCAAATTAAAAATTATGCTCTCACTAGTGGTATTATACAACCAGCTTCACGTAAGCGTTCCAGTGCCAAATCACGGTCCTGATTTAGACGAGAAGTGCAACAATCAGCAACAATATAAACATTAATACCGCATTTAAGAAATCGATTGCGGTTTGTTCGATACATACATGAGACTGGAATAAAAAAAGTATAAGAGTGTATGGATGAGCAATGAAACACATTTCACAACAAGGTGGATCTTTGTGTTGTTATAAATTCTCATATATGTCTACTAAATCGTTAATTTTACCTCTAATCCATAGAGTACAACATCACAAGGCTTCTCCCCGTATATGTTTTTATTTTATTTTCCAATTCTGGTACAAGCATACTGAACTGGGTTTTACTTATAATAGCTGCAGCATGCGAAATATCTAAATTCGGGAACAGTTTTTCCCAGCTTTTCAGGAAATTGCTCCGACACTATAAAGGAATTTCAAACTCTTTACCAGCTTGGTCTGCAAACAGCCAAAGGTCAAAAATATATTAACAAATCAACCAGTTTTCTTACCAATTTATTAGCGTTGTCACTAACCCTCGAATAGTGGAATCACTGGTCGGAATTTCTCCTGGATATCACGAGAAAGAATAGAGTTTTTTGGAATTGAGAAATCGTAAACGATGCGCCATGTTTTTGAATTCAAATTATTAAATTCAACAAAATTAATAGCTAGTGATATTTCAACAAAAGTTGGATGTATGGAAGGAAAAAGTTTTATTTTATTATTATATAATTTAACTATGACTATACCACATTTAACTATTTATGATTATAATTTATGGATATCTGTATAAACTTTTCAAAAAACCAAATTTGTAAATTTCCAACCAGAAACTATCCACATAAAAAAACATCAGCTGTTTAATTTATAAATGCTTTAATACGGAGATAAAGAGATGCCCACTCATCTCTCACTGAAATTAGAGCGCAATTGCTAAACGCCAAACCTCCTGAACTCAGCAACTGTCAAAGTTCAGGAGGTCTGACGTTTAGCAATTTGAAAAGAGGACGCCGAGATTGAAATCTAAATCCTACAGAAAAATATGTGAACTGAGAGATTTGTTGCTGCTGTTGAATCACTAATAAAAATTGGGAAAACAATGAAATGAAAGAAAAAAAATTAAAATATATATGATGAAATCTTTGTATGCCATGCTTAGTAGCATTAATATTCAATTGATGTATTGAAAGTTCGGAAATCAATTGTTTTAATATATACAAAAAAGGGTTTAAATAGTTTCTGCATATGTTTAACGGATAATGTATAATAATATATAATCTTAATAAACGTTGGGTATTTAATTTAAATCCCAAAAATTATTATTTTGTCCGAGCTGGCTACAATGGAAAATGTTATACAAAACGCTAATTTTGAGCGCTCTCACACTGGAAAGAGTTAGGCATTGCATTATCCCTGCTTTGAAATATTCCTTTGTCATTCACAATTACGTGCATCTTGGCAGGCAATAGATGTTATCTAGATAACTTTTTTATTCATCATTGTTTGCATTAGCGGAGAATGTTAATGAATAGAGAAGGCGCAAATGTTAGCTGTGTTAAAATATAAACTATTAAAAAGGAGCATCGAAAATACTCAAATTCGAATGTTCAATTACACACATCAAAAACCGTCCCTTCCCCTCATGATAATCGAACTTAACAAACTACACCACTTTAACAAGGAACAAGCAAATTTTCACAAACTTATAAAGGAACAGCTAATATGTGTAAATGACCAAATATAATATTGCTTTTGTTTATTTAAGTCTGTTTATTCAAAGTATACATTTTATTTAACTGAATAATCCTCGCAACTCGCGCTACGTTGCCTTTCCTGTCTCGTTGCCTCGTTCGACTGACTACTCGTTGTCTGCTTTGCCACATCGTTCATCCTCTGCCGTATTGCCATCTCACGTGACAGCTCGGCCACTCCTGATGGATCGTCTCTCCTGTACGATTTTCCGTGTGCGTCGTCGTTGATGCCTCTAAATAACATTTTGTTCATAATCGTCATCAGTCATACTCAAAGCGCACCAGGCTTCAGTTGGTCATTCGTAAATATTCCTGCATAGCGCTTTCGCTGGTTCGTTATATCTGTAGATTCTATCACATAACGATCGTTGGGTAACCTTTGTTACCAAATACGACCGTTGGTAAACGGATCAAGCTTATGATGTTTCATGTCGAAACGTTTTTTCCATTAGCCTTTCTATTTAATTCGTTCGGCCGCTGTATTCAGCGGAAGTCTTCATGTTGAGTTTTTCCGTCGTCGTCGTCATCTGTGATAGCTGTGATTTATCGATTCGTTTGACGTCGCGTGGCTTATAATTGAAAACTAAGCTATTGGGCTTGTTTCGTAGTTGCGTTGCTTTGGGAGTTTTCTCCATTGAAGTTGTGGTAGTGCTTCGTCCCATTCTTTATCGGCTTTAATACTGCATTTGAGTGATGCCAAAACTGTCTTATTGACACGCTCGGCTTGACCGTTGCACGGCGTGCGCACTGCTACTTGACATGCTTGACGTCATACTTGTCGGTGAACTCTAAACTCCTTTGATGTAAGATGTCCCCTGTCGCGAAACTATTGCCTCACGCCACCAAGATTGTATGTAATCTCGTAGTTGCTGACAACGGAGTTGTTTTCGTTACGTAATGCTCTTAGTATAACGATATTCGTGAAAGCACACACAAAGACCAAGATGTATACATGCCATGTTTACTTCGTATAAAAGGCCCTAGATGGTCAATATGTATCTCTAAATGGTATTGGCACCACTTCGCTAACATGGAGCTGCTTCCTTCTTGCCACCCGATGCTTGTTAATGCACATTCTGACACGATGCAATATAATTTCACATACGGTCGCATACGAGCAAACCAAAAGCTTTGGATAAATCGTTCGCATGTCTTATCCAGTCCAAAATGTCCCGCTCATCGTGACATGCTCTCACTAAACCCATTTTACGCCTCTCGGACCACTAGCCTCTTGTTTCCTGTACTTTGCGAATATACCGCTGACCTTGCCATATATAGTCATCTTTCAGTTGCTGTGCGTTAAATGTTTCTTTGCCGTTTAAACTTCGATGATTCTTTAATGTCTCGTCTTGTCTTTGCATCGCGATACCCAATCGTTGTAATTTTCACCACGGGAAAAATTGATTCGGCGATCGTGTTGTTCTACTGGTGGAAGCGTTTGACATCTGCTTAACCCATAGCTAACGTATTCTTTGTACCTGCGCGGTAAACGCATTGAAAGTCAAACTCCTGTAATTTAGCCACCACCTCGCCCTCGCGGTAGCAGGGTGTTGTCGCTTTGGTGACCCACGGCGTTGCAGTCATGTATTTACCTTAAAACCTATGGCCAATCAAATACATTCGGTAACGTTGCAGGTTTCAACCGTGTGCACCTCGTGGGCTTTTGTTGCGTCGTATATAGTTAAGACTGGCTTGGTTGTTATTAATTTTAAGCTTTTCAAATGCGTGGTTTTGTTCTTCATTCCAACAAACTCTGCGTTCTTCTTAGTAACAATGTCAATGGTTGTGCAAAATGCTGTACCTTTAACAAACTTCGGAAGTAACCAGTATTACCCAGAAATTGTCATACGGCTTTTTGTTTGTTGCTTTTGAAACTCTTCAATTACTTTGGTTTTGATTCCCTGGTCGTATGCCTTTACTGTCTATATGATCCCCAGAAACGTACATGCTGCGCTAAAAATGTACATTGGATGGTCTAAGCGTAAGACCTGACGCTTTTACGGCTTCAAGAAATTCTTTAAGTACCTCGATACCTTCGTCGACTGTTTTGTGGCTATGATGACCTCATCTACATAGTTGACCACTTTGTCCGATTCTTAAGTGTCTTGATTAAATTGACAATAGTTTCCTGGAAAACCATGGGAGCGTTTACCAACCCAAAAGCATAACGTATGCTCGAACAATCCCTCAGGTGTTAAAAATGCTGTGAATTTCTTTGATTCTTCTTCATTGTACTTGATAGTAACGGATGTCATGTCCAGTGTTGAAAGAACTTATTTCCCGATAACCGTGAAAGTTGCTCTTCGACTATCGATACATAGTTTTTCTTAACAGTACTTCATTGAGTGCTCGGTAGTCAATACACATTCGACTTTCGCCGTTGACTTCTTCACTAAGAGAACTGTGCTGAGGTTGGTGAATTACTCGGACGGATGATGTCGTTGTCTAGCAGTTCCTTTAAACCTTTGATAACATTGGTCGCTGTGAGAACGGAACTTGATAACGTTTGCCCAGAATAGCCTGGTACAGTAACTTCTTATCGTCATATGCGCGTTGTTACATCTACCGATTTGTTGATACTTTCTGCAAAACAATTTTATAAGTCAACAAAATTCATTGCCTTGCCTCGTTCCTTCTCGATAAATCGCTATGACGTTAAGGTCTACCCTTTTAGCTTCTTGCAGATGTAGCACCCCCTTTCCATTTACCATTTGATACCTTACTTGTAGAACTCTCGACCACTAAAATAACGTGGTAGTATAACTCGTCCTGAACTAGGTATAGTGTTCACTTCATGTTTGACGTTGTCGATTGTTGCAACTAAGTTGACCTGACGTGTCACCTTTACTTTGACCCGCCGAAACCCATGAAGCATCTGTTAGCTTCCTAGTCTGCATCCCGTTGGCTGCCTTTCCCGTATCAACGAGCAACGCTGCCCGTATCGATGACGCTTCAAATTTATTCCCATTAAGCTCCACTATTTTCATAACTGAAGGAGCCCCGTCGTCTTCCTGGTGATTGTAATCTTTGCAACTGATGCCTTTTTACTGCATGTTTTAGCTTCATGACCCATTTTTGAACATATCGACATCGTAGTTTCCGTTGTGTTGCGGGCACTTGGCTGCCATGTGTCCCAACGCGTTGCAATGAAGCATATTTGTGTGTACTTCCATTGTATTTAATTTCTCTTCGTTGCTGGTTTGGTGGTATTGATGTTACCGATGCACATATGATTGCTGATAATTCTTAATGCAACCAATAGTTCACTACACGTTGTAAAATTCATCGTTGCTAATGGCTTAGTTACTGCGCTATCATTGAGACCGCTGATTTGTGCATGTTGATAGATACGTCATCCACCTTACCTTGCCTACCTATGGTTAGCATAGAGTAAAAATACTCACATAGTCTTCGCCGTTTTTACGTTTGCGTTTCATAAGCAATTTATGAATCTCCGCTGCTTGTGCGTTTGTGGAAATCCGCTTAAATGCGTACATAATTCTGACCAGGTCTGAAAACTGATTGTGCATCCAGCCAACGTTTGCCATGCCTTTCATTTGTGTTGCACTGCGATCAAAACTCTGTTTTCCTTCCAGCCGTAGCATGTGCAATTGTTCAGTTCTCGTTATAAATTGTGTTCTGACGTTGAACCTTTTATTGGGTCGAATTCAGGCATAACCCTATCATGTCCTGAATCGACATCTCTCCTGTATTGGTATTCTTGAGCTGATTCCCAAGTTGATACACTTGACCCTTGGTGACTCTAAGTCGTTGTTGATTGCCGCTTGTTGAATTTCCTCCCTATCTGTACCGCTGTTGAATTTTGGTGATCGCTGCCATAGCTGACGTTAAACCTGCGATTGCTTCTTATAAACTGTTGAGTTGCACTTGTAAATCACTTG